TCATGTGATCCCGTGGCATCTTTCATGCAAGCTCCATTTCCATGTTGAACGACCAATAAAAATAGTTATCATTGCCGAGTAAGTCTGTTGACTTCTTCATGTTGGCTTTAATATTGTGCCTTGGGCCCATAACCTGACACTTTAGTGCAGGTGTGGGTTCAAGCAGAAAATCAAAAAGTGAATAAATTAATTGTTAGATCCTGGTTCATCAATCCAAGTGCATCCAGTCTAAAAATTACGTGCATATGCTTTTTGTTGATGTTGCAACATCAACGTCAACATCAACTGCAACTGCAACAACCACCACCACCATGCGGTTGTCATCCTAGTGTCTAGCGTGTTTTGTAACAGATATAGCAATAAATGTATCGCGAATTGACAATTCCCAGCGATTTTCCAGCTGCCAAGCTGACCAAAGCCCTCAAGACAGGTAAGCTAAGTCTTACTGCAAACAACCTTAAGAGTTTAGGCTCTGTTATCCATCTCCACCCAAATTCGTATGAGAAGGCACTAAAGGTTTGCAAGGCAGGTCGTGGTGTTATACTTGATATCACACGTCATGCTTTCAAAAAGGATACAAGAAAATCGGGGGGATCCATTAGTAAAATCAAATCTGGGTTATCGACAGCATTCAAATTTGTTTAATACAGCAGATTGCTTTTAAAGGGATTAGAAGCGGCGGTTCCGGCTCTTGCGGCAGCGTTTGGGGCCCCTCAAGCAGCAATCCCAGCGAGAGCAGCTATTAAGTCATTGACCGTAGTTGGCTTATACGACTCTGAAAATGATATAGAGAAAAAGGGAGGACGTGTATCTATAGCGGATGTTAAGAAGGCGGCAAAAAATGCTCCATTGTATGCTAAACGTAAGAAGGTTCTTACTGATGCAGTCGATGCAGGTGAGAAATTTCTACTATCAAAAGCAAGCAAACCGGAACATGAAACTCTAATCAAGTCAGTGTGAGGTGACGTAAAGAGATGTTATGGTGTAGGAGTTTCAAAAACCCAGCCAAAGGCAGTCCTGAAATGAAGGCTCAAATGGCTGCTTTGCGTGCTAAACGGCGAGGGAGAAGTTTTCAGTTATAAGGGCTGGATAAAAAATTAGTCATCCGATTATTATTTTTCTGGACGAAGCAGAAGTATGATGCTCACTGAATTGCTGCGGAACTTAATTCTTGTGTTATTATGATTGAAGATTGAGATCGTGATTGTTGTGCGCGCTTCATTATGACAGTCCATCCAGACATATGGACTTGACTTATAGCTGATTAATTGACCCACATGAGCATCACCACGATCAAACGCACTAAGAATATCACCATAGGCTACATATTCGCTCTTGATTAGATCACATCGAGCGATGTAAGAGATGTAGGATGGATCTGAGAAATTGCATTACTGAGCTGAGCACTTGAACCCGTTGCAGACGCTGAAAGGATACGTACAAGTAGTCAATCCTACTACTTTACCAAAAGCGGCAGTATCGTTGATGATGCGAGGGACACGCGCTGTTGATGGCAAACCAGTGCCATCAGCCGTAGAAAGTGTCGATAGAGTAGCGCTTAAAACGAAATGAGCAGCATAATACACACTGTTTTCCGTCAATTGAATATAGAAAACGTTCTCACCCGATGGATTAATTAAAAACACTCCAGCATTTACGAGAGCTGTCTGGACGCTTCGATTTATATCAGTATAATTGTAAAGCCCACCAAGCAAGCTAAAAGATGCAGTGGATGTGGTTCCAGCTGTCGGAAATTCAAATTCAAAGAATTGTTCCAGAATTGAGCGACATCAACGTTGTATTTATACATCATAATCGATTGAACTGCACTTGCTACATCCTAAAAATCGGCAGCACTTCCAGGGAAGCAGTATTTCCATGTGATGGTGTACCCGTCTTAAACGAGGTTAGTGGAATCGAGCTTAACAAACGAAGCGCACATACTTTATGTATATTGATATACTCAAAATATATTTAAACTATTGCACAATATTGATCGGCTTATCGAAGTTATATCTCATTTGACCTTTGACTGAGTCCATGAACAGCATCTGTCTCTGCGTTCCGTGGCTTTATTGTAGTAATAGACGATTGACATCAACGCCTTTGATGTTAAATTCTCTTACATCAATCAGTAAATCACGCTTCGAATTTGCTTTTAGAACTAATAAGTACTCTGAATTCAACCGAATCATCTTATCAGTGGCAAAGTAACTGTGGCTTAGGAATATATTTGAGAGTTTAAAGTGTCGCCCACGTGTATAGTAACGAGAGAAGATACTCTTCTGAAGTAGTCTATCATTGCTATAGTCATCGATGATAACAAGCTCCGGTTTATCAGAGCTTAATGGAGTATGCCGCACCTGATCTATTTTAGAAGGGCTATCTGGGTCAGCAAATGTGATGAACCCTTCCACCTTTTCCCGATGATACTCATAAAGCTCCTGATGGGGATTACGAGCAATGATAGTTAGATGAGCAAATAC